CCATATTGCTGACGTTGCTGTTGATATTTGATATATTTAATAATGCAGTTCCTGATTTTGACCACTGAGGGGCAGTAAACCAGCGTCTTCTGTAGTGTCGCGCTTCAGAAACAATATAAAACCAACAGATATAAATGTGAAATTAAACAATTAAAAGAGAGTGGTGTTTGTTGTGTCTATTCTTTTGGGGGAGGCGGTAGAGATTTATTTATATTTTGTATCTATGTCGCACATTATTAATTTTTTTAGTGTGCCACATATTAGGCTTTATAATTATATGAGGGGAAAAAATAAGAAACCGCTTTAATAGTTGTTCTGAGTTATATACAAAACGAACCGACGCCCTTGCACTGACCCCTTCCCCTGCTGACCTCCGCCCCGCCGGGCGGTCCCAATACAGAGAGCGAACGCCCTGAATCTCTGGAACGCGTGGAGACAGCCAATCAGGTTGACTCCCTGCTACGTTAGCACAGCTCTGGCAAAACAACAGCCCGTCTCAATTTGTTTCCTGTTAGCACTAGCATTAGCCACAGAGCCGCCGACAAAACCTAGCGTGTAAAAATGTTAAATTAACGACAGCGTTTATACCCGGTCGATGTTATCTTTGATTTGACGTTGGTGTTCGTTTGAAGGCAGAGCCAGTCGGAGCTGCGACGCGCCGTTAGCTGCCAGGCTGCTAGCTAACTGTAGCTAACATCGGCGATCCAGCAGAGAAAGATGGGGTCCATTCTGAGTCGCAGAATCGCTGGCGTTGAGGATATCGATATCCAGGCCAACTCGGCCTATCGATTTCCACCGAAATCTGGTAAGTGATCGGTAGTATCTCCTGGCTGAATTCAGATTCCATATTACCACGGATCATCTAAAGCAAGAACAGACATAGACACACGGAACTGACGCTAGCTAACGTTAGTTAGGCTCTAATTACTGTTTATTTTCTGTTGATTGTCATCAGATAATTTTATTGGCGAGATAAGGATTGGTAACCCGATTATAAATTTGTCTGTCTGTCTGGTTCACATGTTAAGAAAGCTTTCAAAGTTTACTGTGGTTTTTATAGCCTACATTGTGCTACTGCTGTCAGGTTAATGCAAACGGGTCTAATGTTATGTTATTGCAGTGTGATGGTAGCAGACTGAAGCATTGTATGTCTAACTCCAAAAATGGATGTAATGAAGTGGCATGTGTGTTTTATTCACATTAAACTTATGCTCCAAGAGCTGATGAGACACGATACCCATGTCAACAAAGGATTTTCAGCTTAAATGTCATTTCCTGTTAGTGTTGTGTTTCAGCTGTATTTAAAGTAAATAGTAATTAGTCTTACATATTTATTACACTCTCACTTTGCTATTGAGATATTTTTAATCAGTGAAAACACAGTACGGTGTACACTGTAATTTCTCACTTTGATACAATGCCTTGAAAAATATCCACATTCAGTATCATGGGGAAAAAATACATTTTAATTTTCTTAAATCAAAGATAAATTTAACAAAGCCACAACGTGACGAGTTTTCTTTTCTTGGTTAGCAGCAGGGAACAGCAGAATGACTGTAGTAAACATTAACTGTAAGAGAGAGCAAGAAATGGCAGACTGTAATGGTGTATCAGTACTGCTGAAAATTGTTATTGAAACCACTTAAAATATTCAATATTGTTAACCATTTATAGATCAGTTGATTTGACAACACTAGTACTGAGATAGATATGTCAATGTGAGACCAAGAAACCTCTGTTTAAAACCCATAAACTGGCCTTTCAGCTGGTCATATAATCTCCTGCACTTCCGTACACACATACAAGGACTGATATGGTGGTAATGACGTTACTCTTGATTTTATTCAGTTATTTTCTTGTTTAGGGGTGATTAAAATGATTGCACTTGAACAGAAATCTTTTTTTGATATAGAAATTTACGTGCTGCAAATATAAAATGCTACAACACGTTTAGGCAGACATAATGACATAATAACAGTGGCATAGTGCTGATGTACCTCTGTTGGTATTTATTGATCCCATTTATGCAACCAAGCAGCCTTTATTGTCCTTTTTATCATCTGAATTATAGACCTACATTACATGCCAAAAAACAGCCAAGAGCCAAGCCATTCTGAAAATATAATAATATTGCTACCTGTATGTAGTTGTTAGGGGGTTTATGGTTTGTTAAGACTTCTGTGCTCCTGCCTCTGAAATGACTGCACTATTAAACGAGAGTTTAAACATGTTGCTCAAAAGAGTCATAATATTCAAAGTAACAATATATAGACTGAGTTACTGCTCACATCAATGCAGGTAGAGAGGTTTTATATTGCTCGCAGTGCCTTTATTATTTGTTGTTTCCTTCTCTTGTCCTCAGGGAATTATTTTGCGAGCCACTTCTTCATGGGAGGAGAGAAATTTGACACACCACATCCAGAGGGATACCTTTTTGGAGAAAACATGGACCTGAATTTTCTTGGAAATAGGCCAGTGCAGGTGAAAACTGATGTTTTAATCATTAAACAACAACATAAACTACAACATCGCAGCTCTACATTTCCTGTCAGTAATCGGAATAATCACACCATGTTGATTATTTCTAATCACATATCGTCCATATTGCTGTTATCACTACTAGTTTCCATATGTGACGCCTGCACCACATGAGCCTGTGAAGACCCTGAGGAGCCTGGTGAACATTAGGAAGGACTCTCTGCGTTTGGTCAGGTGAAGATAACGAGGCCAACTGCGATATAATTACATTAAAAGCAAATAACAGTTTTAACGAAAACAGTTTCCATTGTGGCAACTCGTCACAACTGTGTCACGCCTCTTGATTCCAGGTATAAAGATGACTCTGACACACCGGTGGAGGAAGGCGGAAAACCAAAGGTCCAGTATGGTGTTGAGTTCACCTTTGACGCAGATGCTCGGGTGGCCATCACCCTCTACTGCCAAGCGTTTGAGGAGTTCTCCAATGGGATGGCAGTGTAAGAATTTGATCTCAAAACTCTCAGATTAAGCTTTATCTATTAGCATCACAAAGGGTGAACTGCTACTTAAATATTCAGCTGGAATCAGACTTTTATCTGTCATTATTTAAATTTAAAAATCACATCTGAATCCATTTGCGAAACCAACATAGGGCACATCTGTCTGTCTGTGAGAGGATCAGTTGTTCAGATTTGAGCCATATAAACAGACGAGTGGAACTGACACAGCAGCGTCATATTAGTGGAAAATCTTGTGCCAGAAATATTTAATCTCTGTTGTATGGGTAGTGAGATTCAGGCCTTAGAGCACAAGGACTAGAATAGATACAGAGGGTCCTTAGCAACCACCAGTCGCCATGGATACTGCAGATAAGTCTTAGAAGAAGATGAAAGTAATAGTTCGTACCAAAGTTATTCAGTTATAATGAAATGAGACAGAAAGATGATACTTCTTTCTGGAGTCATAGAGATCAGATATTGCTACTGTTGTGCTATGATATTCACTTTTCTTTATTTCCATTGTGTCTATCCATTTTTAGGCACGCTAATGCATATTAAGTATGTAAAGATTTTCCTCAATGATAAATATCTAGTTAGAAAAACAGAGTGCACTGTCCATCCAGGATTCCTCCATCCTCCTGCACGCTGATCACATTTCTCTGTAACATACTGTGCGCAGGTACAGCCCAAAGAATCCATCGCTGGTCTCTGAAACTGTGCATTACAAGCGCGGCGTGAGCCAGCAGTTCTCCATGCCGTCTTTCAAAATAGACTTCAGCGAGTGGAAAGAGGAAGATGTAAGTATCTGCGGCAGTTTGTTTCTGGGTCACACATCACAGCAACAGTTAGTCTCCACCGGTGTTCGTTTATGTCTTCGAATATCCTGCTTTCACTTACACAGCACACTTTTTGCCAGAGGTCTACATCAGTGCGTCAACACAACCTTTGACTTTTTTATTATAGGCTTTATTGAAACAGGGAAGGCCACTGAGAGGAAGTTCTCTTTTACAAGAAAGCCCTGATTGTAGTACAGATAAAACAATAATAGGGGAACATAATAGTTACAGCATGTATCAACAAATCATAAAACAAACAGGGCAAGGACATCAGCGTAAGGGACAGCATCAGTTCACAGAGAGCACATGCATTTACCCTGCTCCAAGTTTGTCAGAAAGTATTTAAATTGATTAAAAAGGATCAGCTTGTCTTATTTTAGAAGCTTCTGCAGATTGTTCCACTTGTGTGGTGCGTAGTATTGAAGAGGCAGTCTCCCAGTCTCAGTGTTAACATGATGATTTTCAAGGACCAAATAAGCCTGGGACCCAGTGCTGAGTGAATTTTGCCCAGGGGTGTTTTATAAATTAATAGAATGCAGTGTTGTTACTTTCCTCACTGCCAATGACTGACACCCAACTTCCTCATATAATAAAAAAGTGAGTAGAGTAGGCATCCCATGTACAAAGGCAGTGCTCATGCTGCAGCAGCCAGAGGCTTGATTCCAGCCCACAGCCCCTCGCTGCATGTCATCCCCCCTTTCTCTCCCCCTTTCACGCCTAAATACTATCCTATCAAATAAAGGCAAAAAAATAACCTTTAAGAAGTCGAAAAATAGAGGTAGGAGAGTTCATATAAATTACACTGCCATAGTCAGTAACAGATAAAAATGGTTGACTGAACAATTTTCTTTTGCATTTCTGTATAATCCATCTCGTATTTCTACAGAAAAATGCCAGTTTTGCTTTTAAGATGTTTATATGTTTTTATAAACTGTTGTTACATAACCATGCCTCATTGAACAATAAAATACATGTATCTCTTCCCCTACAGCTGAACTTTGACCTCGACCGAGGAGTGTTTCCCATGGTAATCCAAGCTGTGGTTGACGAAGGGGACGGTAAGTTACTGCATAACAGTCAGGACAGGATAGCTTTTATATTGAGACTTATTGTACAAACATTAAGACCTATTTATGGAATTGTAACATAAAGTAGCAGGTCGACAGTCATGAGAAATTATACTTATATTGTCAGTATAAACCGTTAAATTTCAAGCTTAAATATATGTTTGTACTAACTAGGACATTGTGTGTTCTTCTTAAGATTGCCTCGGACATGCTCACGTGCTTTTGGCAGCCTTTGAAAGAGTACGTATACATCTAAATAACGGGGTTCCCATGGGTCGTTGAAATCCTTAAAAGCTTGTCAATGTAAAGGAACATCTTGAAAGTTTTTTATAAAGATATTAATAGATATGGGTCATTGAGGGTGCTTGAATTTATATATTTTGTGTAAGAATAAAAATGGATGTTCTTTTAATATTTTTAGGCGTTCAAGCGTTCACACACTCGAGCCTTTCTCTCTTTTAATTGTGATCTGTGAGCTTCTCTAAAGCCTGCTAGTTTTAATTATAAAATTCTTTGTTTATTGTACCAGTGATTAACTTTGATAAGTGTCTCAAACTCTGCTGTGCTGGCTTCTTGAATTTGAAGGAACTGGGCCTGGAAAGTCCTTTTAAAAGTCCTTGAATTTGTTAAGAAGGCGTGGCAACCCTGAAATTAAAGTAGAAATATTTTTAGTCTGGATAAAAGAAGTTTCTACATGAGCTAAAACATGTTTGTTTTGTTTCTCACCTCCAGCACGTTGATGGCAGTTTCTCCGTCAAGCCTCTGAAGCAGAAGCAAATCGTAGGTTTATGAATGTTCCTTTTTCAATATTGCGTTTTTCATTAGTTAGCAAATTATTAAGCTGAATGTATAGTGAATATCCTCACTTTGCTTTTTATCAGTGACTTTTTTTTTATTTACTTAATCACCCTAAATGCAATTGATTAAATTATGAAGGACTTACTGTTCATGCTGCAGCATGTTATTGATGCAATGCAGGATGTTTAACGCAGAGCGTCAGTGACCCTCATACACATTTGCAGCTTTTGAAAAGACAAAGATCTGTGCTGAGACCCTTGGGAGTCTGGCAATAAAGCAAAGCTGTGAAGTAGACATTGAATATAAACTTTCAGGGAGCTCAAAGTTATTTCACATATATTCAGTTTTTATTCAGATGGTTTTAATTTTAAGACAGCAGTGAGATGTATGAATCTATTTTCTGTATCACACTTATCTAAAAAATAAAAAGGAAAACAAAACAAGACAGTGGATAGAAGATGTCATGCATTTTGCTTTTCCAGCTCCCTTAGACCTCGTTGCGTGCATGAACATAGGTTTCTGAAAGATAATTTGTGTTGTTATCTCTTTTCAGGTGGACCGTGTGAGCTACCTCTTACAGGAGATCTATGGGATTGAGAACAAAAACAACCAAGAAACCAAGGTTTCAGTGAAAACACTACCTTGAACATGAGTCACATTGCTGTGATAGTTTTATTTGTGTGACTTTTGATGTGATTTCTTTTTCCAGCCATCAGATGATGAGAACAGTGACAACAGCAACGAGTGTGTTGTCTGTCTGTCTGACCTGAGAGATACACTCATCCTGCCCTGCAGACACCTGTGTCTCTGCAACTCCTGTGCAGACACTTTGCGTTACCAGGCCAACAACTGTCCGATCTGCAGGCTGCGTAAGAACTGTTACAATATTTTTTGGAAAGTGGTTAAAGTGTGACATTGTTATCGTGTTTAATTTGAGCCTGGGTTCCTCTTATCAGCCTTCAGAGCCTTGCTGCAGATCAGAGCTGTGAGGAAAAAGCCCGGTGCTCTTTCCCCTGTGTCCTTCAGCCCAGTCCTGGCTCAGACTATGGACCATGAGGAGCACTCAGTAAGTCATGTACATCTGTGTATAATCAGATACAGTTAGCTAATGTGCAGCAACATCAAGGGAGGACTGGGCATGACTTTGGGCTGCACAATATATTTCTATTCTTATTGCAATATGAAGTTCTGCAGTAAAAATATTGTAAAGGGTGCACTATTGGAACAGCTGGAATTCACAACTTTAAGTCCAAATATTAAGTCAGGTTTTACCTTAACATTTTTCAAACTTATAGCTCAATTGAAAGACTCATGGCTAACAGCTCTGACGCCTAAACTGGCAGTAACCTATCTTTGAATAAAATAGTTAAAACTCTTTTACAGTGCTTGTCATGAATATGCAGCAGTTTGTTTATCAGCTGTGCATCGTCACCACCGGTCCTCGTCTACGTCTCTTTGCAGAGCACAGACTCGGTTCCTCCCGGCTTTGAACCCATCTCGCTGTTGGAAGCTCTGAATGGTCTGCGGTCAGTGTCTCCTGCCATCCCATCTGCCCCCCTCTACGATGAGATCAACTTCTCAGGGGGTCTTGGAGGTGACAGCAGACAGCTGAGCTCCCCAGAACATTTAAGTGATGGAAGTCTGCAGAAAGGCAAAGTCAGCAAGTCACCTGACAGGTATGTTTATACGCACACGTTTACAAAAACAGTACTGTGTGAAATTAGGTCAGGACAGGAAATGAGATAATATGTGTAACATATATCACAACCATCACTTTACATCAGGCTTGTTGTGCTTGGGCTTTTTTGTTTCCTTGTCCCGGTGATCAGCACATCTTAGTGATGCAGTCAAATGTGCCTCAGCATGTCGCATGGGTTTTCTTTCACATAACCTGAAACACTGGAATAAGGCTGACATGCCGTCTTACACACAACTCTCTCCTTGTTGCTGTTGTAGCTGATCGGGAACCTGCAGGCGGGTCTTTCAGCTGTGGTGTTTCATTTGCGCTTGCCATGGTGTGACTGACTCATTGTGCTACTCTCAGAACCTGTTGCTAATAGCATACAGTTAAAAGTTTCTGGGCAGAACTTACCCTCATGAATTTTGATTCTGCAATATGTGCACCAGTCTACATAATGTGTATTCAGACAGTTCGGCACAAATACACGGACTGCTACAGCCTTAGTGGGTGCTGCAGGTTTTATTTCATGTGGGACAGTTGTCATGACATAATTGTAGAATGCAGCTTCTACATGCTGCTGGCCTAAAACCAGTTGTTTTCTTAATTTATTTTGAAGTGTACATCATTTCTTTTTAAAAGGTAGAGATTTCATTTTTATGCGTTGAGTGTGCTGTATCTGTCCATCTGCAGCTAATCTCACATATTATTGGACCAGTCAGCCTAACATTTTGTGTGTACATTTATGGCTATTTTCGCTACCATCTTAAGTGTAAGGGAGCTGGGAGAGATAATTCCACCGTGCACGCATCGTCTAGAGTGGCCACGATTATCTCGCGCGGAGAAGTGCACTCCACTGAGTGCATTTTTACAGATAGGGTTATAATTCTGTGTAGATAGCTGTGATTGATTGAATAGCCTTTACCGCTTGTATCTTTCTGTAGTCACCAATTTTTTGCCTCGTCCCCCTCCACAGCACCCTTAGGTCTCCATCCTCTCCCATCCAAGAGGAAGATGAGGAGAAGCTGTCTGAGATGTCTGACGCTCAGCCACACACACTGCTGTCCAGCAGCCCCGCCCCCACTGACGTAAGCCGCCACTTCACCACCTGACGTTTAAACTTTAACTCTGTTGCAAATAAAATCTTTAAGCAGCTCGTTTCCTTCTTACTCCAGGCCACAGCCACCGAGGACGTGGCAGAGTCCCTGTCTCCAGATGATGGTGAGTTTTTTACTTTGGCAGTCAATAAACAGTTAATTATGTGACACTGGTAAAGTTGTTGGCTTTAAGAGTTACATTCATTGACATTTACTCTCCTGGGTGATCCAGAGGACAGGATGCATTCTGGAGGAGACATCCTACAGGACTGCAGCAGTGAGCACAGCAGCTTGACCAAAACAGAGAGCGACCCACCGGGCGATTTGTCTCTGCCAGGTAAGAGTTTCTCTCTACTCTTAAACCCCCAGCAAACAGCAAGGAAAAGAAAGGAAGCAGAATATGTACTATGTATGTTATCTTTTATGTATAAAGCCATGTACATTATCAGTCTGCACTTTCTGATGGCATCTTTTAGCAAATCAGATGGTCGAGCATTGACTCCTAGAATGAAGAGCATTGTCAACTACAGATTGTCTGGTTCTTGATGGTTTATAACTTTTTTCTAGTTCTGGTTCTCTTTACATTTCTTTTCTTAAATCCAAGACTTGAGGCTGTGATTCCCTGTGCTTTGCATCTAACCTGTGTGCTGTTGTGCTTTTCTGTTCCCTAACACTCCTCTTTTGTTCCCTACCGTCCTGTCCCTTCGTACCGCCTCACTTTGGGCAGCTCTCGGTCCCGATTCCTGCTCTATTGGTATGGAGGAATAACTGTGGTATGTAGGCTTTCCTGTCTGCTCTGCTTCTCTGTATATGAGCTCTGCTGTGCTCACTGAATCCTGTTTCCCATAAATGATCATTCACATCTATCACAGCTAGAATTAAAAGATGCGGCAGGTATTGTCAAGTGAGTGTCGTATGATTGCAGCAGTTTTTAATGCAGACTTATCTTATCGAGAACATTTCCTTTTTCACTTCTCAATGAACCTGTGTACACCAGGTATTAACATATGTTTCAGTGATCCAATCACAAGTGGACAGCGTAGACACATCAGTGTACACGCCTGTGTCTATTAGGGCTGGGCGATATAACGACCGCAGGGGTTAAAGTTCTCCGGCACAGCGCCAGATTTCCGGCATGGCAAAGTTTTTGTCCGGCATGGGCAGAAGTGCCCTACAGTGCGAGCATTTCACTTGCATTTGCTCCTAAAAATATATATATATATATGTGCGAACCGGGAAAATGATTTAGGCGCACAGTGTGTGAGTAAACACAACCTACTGTTTACCATATTGGCATCGGACGTTTTTTCATCGATAACCAATCAAATAATTGTATTTTAAAACTTGCTCCTTTGGCTCTGATACAGCCGTCTCCCTCCCTGCCTGCAGTCCCCACTGCACTGGGCTTTGTAACAATGTCCCGCCTACAGCCCCCTCTGATTGGTTACACGGCACGAGTGATAGCCAATCAACACTGATGCCTGTGCATGCTTTCACATCATGTCACTGCTGTTGTGTCTGTACAGCTGGAGGTATCACTGTCAGCAGTCACACAACACTTTATCCAACTCATTGTAAAATGGGCAAGTTATAGAGCGTTAGGGTTCTGTTACAAAAACAACCAGCATGTCCAGCACTCATGACATAGTCCTTGTTGGGGACACATCAGGACCCTGGATTTATAAAGAGAACTGGACACAGCGTTGGAGATAGGGCCCCAATTATTCCTATGAAAGTTGCTCAGTTGTGCATAAAGCCAAAAAAACCCTCAGTTTCTATGGTATGAGATTACCCAGATCTTCTGTATTGTGGAGCCCATAGAGCAAGCACACTAGAAATTTATGGTGGCTGAGCATGGCCAAGCGGCTAACTTCCAATTTAGCCAATTTCAAAAAAATTTTATCATCCAGCTCTTCTAGACTTAAAAATGTGGTGGATCAAATCCAAATGAAACAAGTCTCATATTGTGGGGTTGTGTTGTTCAAAAAAAATGTAGTCACTGATTTACAGACGTTTCTTTCACAATGTAAGTCTATAAAAAGAAGGTTTTTAAGGCCCCTTGGCATCATGTGACAGACCTGGAAGTTGGAATTCCATGCTTGGCCACTGTGTAAAATTGACTTCAAAGCCCAGTGCTGTTCCTGGCTGCTTTATTAAGACACAGTAGCATTTACACTACAAAATAGAGCAGTCAAATGTGTCCCAGTCCACCACAACAAGTGGTTTGAGTGATCGGATCATAATGCTTCTTAGTGGTCGTTTTCACTAGAGATGCGCGCAATTTGACGTTTAAACGATTAAACGTCCGCCACCTTGCTAGTTGGCACCAGAGATATTAGTTGGGTATTCATGTACAAGGCTGCTTAAAGGAGCTATATGTAAGAAATCTAAAGCAAATAGCCGTAAAATCATCCTAATATGTCACAGAGACTAAGGAATAATGTTCATATAACATACTGATCTCACCGACAACAATAGTACAGCCAGAATATTTGCATCTAAAAAAATTTTTTGAAGTCTGCAAATCATGTTTATGTTTTGAATTTGTGTTTTGGCCTGTTGCGCCACCCACCGCCGTCTACCAGTCACACAGTCAGTAGAGTCTCAGCATCAGTTACAGTTAAGACTGAGCTACAGCAGCACGGCAAGCAGCATTAGCAGTGTCCCCAGTACATTTGGCCACATTCTTACATACAGCATCTTTAACTGTCATGCAGCCACCCGCCACTAGTGGGGGCTACAGAGCCGTCAGACAGCAGTCCCCCTCACGGTAATGCTCGAGTAGACTGAAGTTTTAAGACAGCACGGTGGGAAATTGGAGAGACGTCCTCTCGCAAAACCAGCGCGGTTTGGTAGAACTTTGACCTAGGAAATTAATTCAGCAGCAATTTATCTTTTTTGAGATGTTACATTATTTGTTAACTTTAATCAAATGTTGTTGGATAATGTGCGGGGTTTACATTGATACTGTGCAGCGCAAAATGCCTCTCATTTCAGCTGAAATTTAATTATAAATTAGATGTTGTTTTATTAACTTTAAAAAGAACTGCTGTCATTTCTGTAGGATAATGTGCAAGGTTTATTGTGCCCCACATTTTAGAGGCAAGTTATTTATTTTAGATGTTATTTTAGTGGTTAACTTTTGACTGAGTCGCCATGATGTTCACGTTCATACCGCACGATACAAAGTGTCTCATACTTGGTTGTGATTAAAGGCTTCAAAGGGTTCTTAATGCACAAAATATTTTTTGGGACAATGTTTCACAAATTTAACAATAAATGGTGCTAAATTTTGACTGTTTTCTCAGTGTTTTGATTAAAGTTTTCGTTAAGTCGACGGGGAAGTTAGTCTCCAGGAACATCCCTAGTTTACACTTGTATTTAGAGATGTCCACTTGAGATCTGATCACCAAGCTCATATGTTAATACCAGGTGTAAACAGGCTCCGTGTAGTCTGAGTAGAGACGTCACTTTGAGGCGTGTTGCTCATCTGTTGCTGCTTCCTCTGCAGGGTCATCCGAGTCAACAGAAAGCCTGAAAAGTCAGAGCACAAACTGCTCCAGCCAGCCTCTCCTGTGTCCCACGAGCAGCCTTCATATGGAAGATGAGCACCTCAACCCCTGACTCTCATCCAGCCTTTCCCCCCTCCCCTCCATCAGAACAGATTGATGCGTTACAAAGATGATCCAGTCCCTCTAATTCCTTATACCCTCCAGCCCAGTTTTCTGCATCAGTGATCAGAGCCGAGGACGGCCCCGAAAGGAAGTCCACCAGGACAAGGGAGGACTGTCTATTCCATCAGTGTCTCTGACATTAGAAAAGAAAATTTGACTCCTGTTAAGATTTTCTCAGTACCTTACTTTATGACTGATGTTTATAAAAGAGATATTGTTTCCCCGGCTTTGAAAACATTTCATTAACTGTCAGATGGTGTTCAGTTGTGTGTCTTGACCAGAGTTGTGGTCTAGTAATGTCGATTCCAGAGATATTTCACCACCTGTCACGGTGGCTTTAAGCACACTTACTTTAAATTAACTCTGTACCGATTGCTAAACACTAAATTCAGAAGACTTTATAAATACAGTTTGTGTCTAGATATTGTAATCATCAGTTAAATGCATTAATGACTCGAGAACTTTTTTTTACAGCAAGGGTGATTTGAGTTATGAGCAGAAATTTGAGGACATATTAAGTATGTATCTGTGTGTCCATTTGAAGTGATTTTGCACTCTGCGACAAAATCGTTTATAATCCATTCCTTATAACAGAGTTTATGATGAGATGAGTTTAAGTTGTCTGCAAACATTTACATGTCACTTTTTTTATCATTTCAAAATATGTGATATCTATGTATCATAACTGTACTAGAATCCTGTGTAGTTACTTCTAAAATTGTATACTTGCATATTACATAGAAGGAAAAAAAATCCAGATATTGAAATAATGGAACTAGATACAGTTAACATGCACATTATTTAAGACTTGGATAATCGATAAGAGCTACAGATTCACATCCTAACAGCTAAACTCAAAGATAGATAAAGCCTGCAACAAGCATAGATGCTCCAGCTACATGTATGCTGACTCACTATGGCACAGTAAGTGTGCTTGTCGTAGATGTGGCAGATCTCTGTACAGTCTTTTTGTGGCAATGCCAGTGTCTGCTTATGTGATGTAGCTGCAAAAAAAATGGGGTTCCGGTGTTTGTGTGGCTGCAACACCTTTACATAATTTGGTCCTGTACGTATGTGTAGCGCCATGCATATAGATCTATGTGCCTTGAATTGATATGGCTGCCTGCTTGTTGCATTGGACATTAGTGTTCTTCGAAATGCTACAATATACAACTGTTGTCAGCCCATAGACAGGATTTTTGATGCTGATGTACAGAGCCTTTTTTCTATCGCAGTCTACATGTTACTGGACAAATGTATCTTGTTATTGCAATATGAAATTGAACTGTTCATTTACTATGTTATGGCCATGTATCGATTATGCATTTAATCTTAGTATTTAGGTTCAAGCGGATTCTCTTAATGTGTAATTGAATGGAAGGACCACATCCAATGCAATAAGTGCAAACGTTGCATTTTAGTAATTGGGCTAGCATTTGCATGTGAATTTGTAGAGGCTGAAACGTCTCACTGCTTTTAAGTAAGTTATTTTGTCTTTTCCCCTCCTCTTCTGTGCCATTTCAACTTGACACTGTGCCTTCCTGTTCCTGTTCTGACCACTATTGACCTGGTATCCAGGATAACTCCACAGTAGGTGGTTTGTGGCTCTCTGTAAAATCAATACCTGTCTTTCCTTGTGTGTATAGCAGCATGTGTATAACAATAAAGAACAAAGATTCAGTACTTCACCAGTTGTTTTCTGATTCATCACAATGCCTATTTGCTGCTGACAGTACTGATGTTCTTTATTATTCTGCAGACTCAAATCTGTTAATATCCACTGATATGCCATGGTATGTTTTAAGATAAAGAACATGGCCAAAGATTAAACTTGGGACCTTAAGTATAATGACATAAGGCCATTACTTTGAGATTAATAGGATTTTCTAAAATAATGATTCACCTTTTGTAGGTATTTCTTTTGGCATACTAAAGTATGACATTTTTTAGCATACTATACTATGACTCTTTGGCAAACTATACTATGACTTTTTTTCATGTTTTTGGACCACATACTATACTATGACGTTTTTCATGATTTTGGACGACATACTATACTATGACCTTTTTTTCATGATTTTGGACGACATACTATACTATGACTTTTTTCATGATTTTGGACAACATACTATACTATGATGTTTTTAATGATTTTGGACGACATACTATACTACAACTTTTTTTTCATTATTTTGGACCACATAGTATACCATGACTTTTTTCATGATTTTGGACAACATACTATACTACGACGTTTTTTTCATGATTTTGGAAGACATACTATACTATGACCTTTTTTTCATGATTTTGGACCACATACTATACTATGACTTTTTTCATGATTTTGGACAACATACTATACTACAACGTTTTTTTCATTATTTTGGACCACATAGTATACCATGACTTTTTTCATGATTTTGGATGACATACTATACTATGACTTTTTTTCATGTTTTTGGATGACATAGTATACCATGACTTTTTTTCATGATTTTGGACAACATACTATACTACGACGTTTTTTTCATTATTAAGTATGACTTTTTTTATGACATATACTATGACATTTTTTATGACATACTATACTATTACACTTTTTATGACATATACTATGACTTTTTTTGGCATACTATACTATGACTTCTTTATGACATACTATACTATGACATTTTAATGGCATACATACATGACATTTTTATGACATTTTCAGGGCACACAGTAGTATGGCTTTTTAATGACATTTCATTGGCATGCTATAGAATGACTTCTTTGATTACTTTTTCATGACTATTTAGACAAATATTTATGTTTTATGTATATTACTATGGCATTTTTCTGACATTTCAAGGTAATGTTATGGTGTAACTTTTTATTGCATCATGCATCATGCATCATGACTTTATTTATTTATTTATTTTTTAAATATTCACATTTTTTATGACATACTGTACCAGGGTTTCTCAAGGCTTTGATGACTAAGTGCCTGTGTAGCGTGCCAGCATGTGACTGAGGGCCGCACAATACCAGAAGTGCACATTTACTTGTTGGTAATTTACAGATAGATTTTGGAGGTTGATGTTCTGTGATAACTTAGATTTTTTCCCTTTGACAAATAAATACTGCATCAATATAAATTTGAAATTTAAACCTACGCGTATTATAGTCATAGACGTGGTTTGAGTCCATCTCATACTGTGTGTAAACCTGGCAAAGATGAATCCTCTATTAGGATAAGCAGTGCCCTCTGCTGGCAAAGCAGGCACCAAATCTGTCCTGTGGATTTTGGTCACACTGCAGTTTACTAACACATGGACCATGGACTGCTATAAAACCATCAAGCCGGGCACTCAGTTAATCTTCCACCTTAAAGGCCTTCCAAGTGTGTCACTGCATGCCATTTGTGAAAGTGCAGTTTTATGCTGTAACCAACTTGTACTGAAAACAAAGAACTTTCGATGTCCCCCAGAAAACTGGAAGCAGAAGGGTGAATGATGAAACAGTACACCCTGCGTTGTCATTAAATTAATTAGAGCTGAGTCAGAGCCAAGTGGATGAATATAAACACACACACTAAGCTCATTTACAATCTTTGTCTCTAGACAGGCCAAAAATAGCAGCTAATCAGAAGTCCCGTTAAGTCCCAATACAATTTAACATAGCCACAACAATAATAATAATAAAAACTTTATTTATACAGCACCTTTCATGCAAAATATGCAGCACAATAAGGATATTATAAACACGGAATGCTTCACCTGAAAATTGACATAATGAATTTAAAACAGACAAACAAGGCAATTCAATATAAAAGGACATTTAAAAACAGTTTAAAACAAGGATTCAACAATTTTCATCTAAAAGTGGTGGTGATTTGAGATCCTATTAATGGAAATCTCATATAGTATTTCTTCTTGTGTCACCTTTTAAGCCTTCCAACGTCATTAACAATCAGAGCCTATAATTCCCAATAGGCACAGACTCACCAACTACCCCAGAACTTCTTCTCAAGAGTTAACCTTACTGTGGGTATTGTCTGTGCTGGGTACGTTCCACAGCTGCCACGGAATCTTCCACCCAGTTGTGGATCAGATAGAACTCTCCACAGTCTTTCTCCATCAAATCCATCACCCACTATAGCAAAACCATAAATCTTAAAATCACTAAAAAACAATAATCATGAGATGAAATAAGTCATAATAAGTCAGAAAATCATGAAATCATAAAATCATAGAATTGCAGAATCATTATATCAAGTAAAATATAGCATTTTTAAAGGAGTTGCAGCAGCGTGAAGCGTAAAAAGAAAGAGTTTCAGACCTGTACCAGGAAAATCAGAGCTAGTTAAAGGCTACACTGAACAGACACGTTTTTAGCTTTCTCTTAACTATATTTAGCGAGCTAGCTTCCCTGATATCTGGTAGTGTATTCCGTAGCTAAAGGCTGCATTCCCGATCTTCTTCCTGCTGTTGCTGGGAACCTCTGATAAACCAGCAGCAGATTATGGCAGTGTTCTTGGAGGCAAACAGTGTAGTTAGCAATGTAGCTTGGTCCCAGCCCGTTTAGGGCTTTGTATAGAAGGAGGAGGACCTTCAAATCAATTCTAAATGTAACAGGAGGCCACTGCAGAGCAGTTCAGACTGGCCTTATGTGCTCTCTCCTCTTGGTTCTGGTTAATAGCTGAGCTGCAGAGTTTTGAATGAGCTAAAGTCCCTCAGTGGTGTTTTTAGGGATACCAGTAAAAAGTGCGATACAGTGGTCAAGTTGGCTTGAAATAAAGGCATGAATCCATTTCTCTGCATCTCTTTCATTTAGAAAATGTGTTTTTAAAAATGTGTGATGTTCATATATTCAGTGGGCAGCATACCCTGGAAGTAAATCCTGAGGCCAAAAACTTGTTTGGCAGTACTCCAGGTGAGCAAAGCCATTGGACTGAATAGGCACCATCTTGGCGTCTAGTATCAAGTTGTTATTATGCAGGTGCACCTCATCCATGTTGTTTCTACAGTAGCCTGTAACGGATAAAACAGCACTGGCTCTGGATAGGGCCATACATGTTTGTATATTGGCTAGTGTAGCTCTCCTACATGCTTGGCCCCATAGACTGTAAAAATAATGGACGTAAGAGATAAGATAAGATAAGATAAGATAAACCTTATTGTCCTGCAAGCGAAATTCATCTTGGGCAGTATAGTGCAAACATCTGCAATATTCACATACATACATACAATCAACACAGACAAGTTGCCAACATAGTGCACTGAGTGTGTTACAGTTACGGACTACTGGTGCAAGAGTAGTGCAACCATTTGCCTTGTATGTAAGGTTACAATCAAAGGGAACTACAGGTGTTGCACTGGCCTATCTCAAAGCGCAAGTGAGTGCAGATAAAAACAAATAAATACAGAGGTCAAATAAAAACACCAGTAAAAACAGTTAAAATCATATTAAATCAGTTGCGGGACCATAGTGCAAATAAAAACAATACTAGATAAGAACAACAATGACCAGACCATTTAGGCATAAAATAGCCCTGCGCACATACGGCTCAACCAGGGGGGCATTGCAGGGCCAGCAGGTGAGCAGTGAGCGTAGCTACGTTAACGTCACACAACACCCAGTTTTTAAGACTCGAGTTTGGCATTATGGTCATCGCCATCTTGGTTTGTTGGAGCCAGAAGAGACCATATTTGGGTGAGACTCTGGAACTGTGCGAGGGGTTGACTGAGTCTGACTGAGAAGCTGAGGATACCATTGGCAGACAGCCTGTCACTCAAGCTGCTCCGGCCTTAAATATGCGTAACTTTAAGCCCTAATAAAATGGAAACAATTGAGTTATAAAAACACAGTTGTCACAAAGGGTGAAACAAGCCGTAGAGACCAAAACTGTTTTTTGTACCAGGCTGTAAACATGTTTATTTCTGCTGTAAAGTTGGGCATTTTAACATGGGGGGTCTGTGGGGACTGGCAGGCTTCTGGAGCCAGCCTCAAGTGGTTGTTCAAAGAACTGCAGTTTTTAGCACTTCCTGTTGGCTCTATGTTTTAGCCCCGCAGGTCGCCGCTTGCTTGGCACATGGGAGAAGTTTCAGTTGGTAGCAATCTGCAACCTTTAGATGAAAATCCTACACACTGGACCATTAAGTCTTTCGTTATATGTCACGTTAGTCATGTTTCAAAGAGCTGAAAAACAGCTGCATTTGCCACATGATTCTTTCCTGTGGCCACACATTGTTTTTGGACATCCAATGTTTCTGCTTCTTTCCAACCCAACTATAGATGACTCACATGATCCTATATTTTCATTGTGGTAAACAAAAATAAATGCAAATAAATCCCTTTAATATGGTCACATTGTTAAATAAATAGCATAGCATGTAATTTCAAAATAGGTTAAACCTCTTAATATTAAAATATTGTATGTGATCCACTGCATAGCATTAAGTCTCATCTTGCAATGAGTACATTGGTTATGCTTCATGTTGTGTGGCTGAAGCACACATATAATAAGCTGCTGTGGTGTTACAGTTCATTTCAGGATGAATTTTCTAGCTGCCACGCACTCCTAAAGTGTGTAACGTGTCACATTTCATACATAATGATATTCTCCTGCAGTATTGGTTGACTGTTGCTCTCGGCTCAGCTGGACTGACAGGTGTAGTTGGCCGGTGTAAAGTTTAATGAGGATTCATAAACTAAATTTATTAGCTTGTCTGAAAAGCTGAAACATGTCTGTGGGATTCACAAAACGCGACCGTGTCATTCAGATGGCTATAAGCGGCTGTTTTAAGAGGCCATGGGGAATTATTTCAGACAGTCCCTCCCCCTCAGAGGCCACACAGACTGACAGAGCTGCAGGTCAGAAAAGGTGATTTAATCTCTGGGCAACTGTGTACGTGCTCGCCTCTAACATCCGATGATCTCACGGGCAGAAATGTTCTTGTGTTTGTGATTGGCCAATTGTCCAGATGACGTGGGAGATTTCCCATTCATTACTGTAGTAAAGGCCAAAAGGAGGCAGTGGGGTGAAACAATAATCCTGAAAACAGTTCTATTGTGGTTTCATCTCTTGAGGCTAAATTAAACAATATTAGGGCTGCCAGGTGACTGTGAGAAGCCTGTTTTTCTGCAGAGAAATAAATAAGACCAAAACAAAAATACAGTGCAAACTTTCATTATTTGATGCTTAAGAAAAAAAGCTTTTGGAAAAGTAAAATGAACCAAGAATACAGTTTTAAACTACTAGACACTTGCACAACCATAATAAACTGTAAATAAATAGTTTAGATTGGAGTTTATGACATAAGGATTACCTTTGCATTAAAAAATAAATATAATTATACTGAATTTAAAGGAGTCGTCTGCTATAATGCACTGACAGTCAAACATGTCTGGGTAAACAGGTTTACCTCAGGCCAGTCAAAGCAAGTGCTCCCTCATTTAATTAGTCCGTGCTAAACCTCTTTGGGGCATGAAATCATCCCAACAGCAATCCACACAAATCTCCGCCCTTACCCAGTGCAGGTAAATTAGCCTATATGTCCTTGATCTCCGGAAAACATGCGTATCGCCACATCCAGTCACGCCACATACCTGAATGTACAGTGAGTGCATGTGTCAATATACATGTGCTCGGCAAAAAGTAATCCTAATCTACCATCACATCACACCATCAGATAGATAGACAGATAGACAGATAGATAGATAGATAGATAGATAGATGTGTGCGATGAGAGATGGATTTGATTTTTAAAAGAGAAGTGAGGTAGAAGGATAGCTTTCCGAGCAGTGCCTTATAAACAAAAAGGAGACAATGTTTTCCCCTTCTATCAGTAAAAGAACGCCATCCCACATTCTGATACAGCTCAGATATTGATATCACGATAATATCGTTATCATGAACTCTTTAAGCCACCGATTACTGATAATTGTGCAGTAAAAATCTGATATTGTGGCAGCCCTAACATGTAACCTCATCCAATCTGGCATAAAATCAGACAAAAAGACACTTATCATACAGTTCATCTCTGAAAACACCAGATTTTTGTTTTAAATAAAGGTATTGGAAATATAAAAATGATTGCTGTCAACACCCCTATCTGAGCTTAATCCAAATTGTCTAATTAAAATATGCACAATGAAAGCAGTAACTACAGAGCTGTCTGTCTGTGAACGTAGAGACATTAGAAAAATGAATAATTCAATCACAAAAGAAATGCCTCCACAACAGAATGTCTGGCATTTGAAAGGCGGGGGATTTAGAGACTTTGGGGACACGTGCACAGACAGTTATCCTACTTTGGGACGACCACTTCACAGTATGAGACAGAAGAGGAGAGCAGGAGAGACACGAAGGTCAGCGCCTCGCCTTCTCAAGTGAGCTACTTTACAGTCAGAGCTGTTTGACAAATAGGGAGCCAGAGAGAGACAGTTCTGCTGGGAGGGTTTGACTCACTTTGCTTCATTTAAGACATCAGTGTAGAATTTATATTGCAGAAGGCTGCGAGAGAAGAAAACAGATTGACACAAGAGTCCTGTCTTGTATTATTGAGATACCATGACACAGCAGATCAGTGGCTCACCGTTCCTCAAGCCCTTCTTCCTGAAGACGCCCGTCCGAGTGGTCAGCCCGCTGAGACAGAGACGACACACACTACCCGCCAGCGAGTTCAGGAACCTCACGCCACAGGATGCCATCAGTGTGTTTGAGATTGAGAGAGAAGGTAAGTCACGTTCCTGACATTTTATGTGTATGTAACAGGGAATATACTGTGGTTTCCTTTCTGTCCATGGGGAAGGTTTAATAAATATGTCTTGTCAGTGTTCAGTATCATCTTAGTGCCAGTAACTCAACTTAACTTGACAGAGAACATGTTTCTTTCATCCTGTAGTCTGTTCCTGATCCATCATTACTCCCAGAACATGACCCACTGCATGAACTGGTTCTTTTCACCCCACAGCATTTGTCTCTGTGTCTGGCGAGTGTCCACTTACCCTGGATGAAGTGCTTAACTTCCTGGGTCAGTGCCCTGAGCTGTCTCTGGGTTGGTTTGAGGAGGGACAGCTGGTAGCGTTCATCATCGGCTCTGGCTGGGACAAGGAGAGGCTTTCGCAGGTATGAAAACATTTGGAAAATGTGTAATGAATAACCTTGCTTTTCCATGCAAATGACTGCTTTTGACATACTTGCTACCGCCATGTATTCTTTTTTTCTCCAGGAGGCAATGACTCAACATGTCCCCCACACCCCCACTGTGCACATCCACGTGCTGTCAGTGCACCGTCACTGTCGCCAGCAAGGCAAGGGCTCCATCCTCTTGTGGCGCTACTTACAGTATTTACGCTGTGTGCCGGGCCTCCGCCGAGCTCTGCTGATTTGCGAGGACTTCCTGGTGCCCTTCTACCTCAAGGCCGGTTTCAAGGAGAAAGGACCATCAGCCATCTCCGTATCCAACATGCAATTCCAAGAGATGGAGTACATGCTTGCTGGGCAGGCATATGCACGGCGGAACAGCGGCTGCTAGTCCATGAACCCCCCTACCCCACCCTCCTTCCACTTACTCACCTCTAACATGGACTCAGGGCAGATAAGATTAACAAAACACAGCCGGGAGATGGACAGATAGAGGCACGGGACCATGTGTGCACCAGTGAACTGGGTTCAGTAATGGTTACAAGGTCTTCCTGGACCTCCTGATGTCTGCACTGCACAGTATCCCACTAAGCAAGGAGTGAGGTCTTTGTGAGAAGAGACCAAGAGTGGATCAATGCAGAGGAGGAACCAGTGGCTTTGCTGACATCAAATTAAACTCCCCTGTCACCATTTGCATCTTGGCTTTGTTAACTTAATGTTATTTCTCCATTTATTTGTCACAAATCAGTGTATTAATGTATTCAATTCATTTAAAAAATCAGCATTATATCTCAAGTTTCTGATGTAAATACTGTTCTATTTTTGTAAACCATATAAATGAAAAGGTGTTATGAATTCATGGTCCTTACTGTAAAGTGAGCTACTTAAATGCAGCCATTAAAACGCTTGCATTCAATAGAATATTTGTTTCTTTCTGTCATAATTTGAATAAACAATAAAACAATCTTCAACAGGCGTTTTCTTGTAATTAAGAGAAAGTCAGACCAGTTTAATTTGTTTTTTTTGTTGTTTTTTTTTTTTACTGTTGTTTTCAGTTACATGTGAGTAGACAGGTAGCTAAAACACTACCGTGTTCAAAACAATCATCACTTCTTGAGAAGCAATAAACAAATAAAAGAAAACATTCGAGTGCTCAGCATAATGTAACAAAAATATGGCAGTAGTTGGTACATTTATCAACAAGGCACAAAAGGTATCAATATTTGATTTTTGTCCCTGCTTCTGTATGAGGTTGCCTGAATAATAAAACCTATGTCTGGAGTGTGAATGTAAAAAATTAAATATTCCTTCTCTCTGTACCAGCGCTGGCTTCACTAATTCCTGCCTCACGTGTAAAGGGCAGCTGGGAATTTTGATGAGGTTCAGAAGTGCCATACCTTTGTTTCACTGGACAGTGAAGGAGTGACAATGACTGCCGGTGAACAGGGAGGTGATTAAAAGAGGTTGTTTAAGATGAGTGGCATAGGTATTCATACTGACAGAGTAAAAAAACTTAACACAAGTATGCTGTCATTGTTCACAGAGAAGGGGACAGTCACACGGGGGCAGAGTGGACACACAGACTGGCTGATATCATCTGTTAGTCCACATGTTTTGACCTGATGCCTTCCTGCCGCGCTCACGCCGTCCACACTTCAGTGGAGGTGAGCGTTGAGGTCGTACTTCTCGCAGAATTTGTCCGTGAAAGGGATGCAGGTGAGCAACTCGCACCATTCACACTTGATTGGGTAGACATAGAAGAGCACCACGAGGCCTGAAAAGAGCCCGACAAACACCAGCAGGAAGACAATGATCTGACAGCGTTTGCGGTACAGGTCCATGCGGCCGAAGCTGATGTAGGGTAAGAAGGCGAAGGACAGGAAGAAGCCGGAGATGAAGCCACAAATGTGGGCGAAATTGTCGATCCAGGGCAGGAGCCCAAAGGCAAAGAGAAAGAGCACCACACAGAGCAGCTTGGTGAAGGCCCTCCAGGGCTGGGCCAGGATCTGCCAGCTCTGAAACAGCTCCACGAACAGGCAGGCAAGGATCCCAAACTGAGAGCCGGCTGGGCCCACCTGATACAAAGATAACAGAGAGACAGGTGTAAGCCTACAAAAACATGTTGGTTAACATTTATAACATGATTTTAAAGAGACAGTTCACCACAAAATCAAAAATGCATATTTGTCTTCTTACCTATAGTGCTATTTTATCAATCTATATTTTGGTATGAGTTGCAGAGTGTTGGAGATATCAGCCATAGAGATGTCTGCCTTCTCTTGAATATAATGGAACTACATGGCACTCAGCTTGTGGTGCTCAAAGTGCCAAAAAATGCATTTGAAAAACTCAACATCAATTTCTCTTTCCAGAATTCATGACCTGGTTACTCAAGATAATCCACAGACCTTACTGTAAGCAGTTTCATGTAGGAAATGTTTTCCTTTTACCAAACCACATCCGCCAACCCTATCACCACACAGAAGGAAGTGTGCATCTACTCATTGATGAGCAAGATGCAAGATGTACACATTAATGGCGTCCTCCTTGGTTAGGCTGTTGGTTAGCTAGCTCAGTGGTGCTAGGTGAGCTAGCAGGAGACACACACAGGTCTTGCTGCGTGGTGATACGGTTGGCTGGTGTAGTTAGATATTATGAAACTAGTTCCTACATGAAACCGCTCACAACAAGGTCTGTGGATTATTTTGAGTAACTGGGTCATGAGTTTTTTAAATGACCATCACAAGCCGAGTGCCATCTAGTTCCATTATATTCGAGAGAAAGCGGACATCTTTATGGCTGTTATTTCCAACACTTGGCAACTCACACCAAAACACTCTAGATTAATAAATAGCACTACAGGTAAGAGGGAAAATATGTATTTTTGATCCTGGATTGAACTGCCTACAGTTCTACATTATGTGGCATTATTAGTAAATATTATTATTACTCATGACTGCACTGTGATATTTTTTGCACTGATATTTTCTTGGTGATTACCTCTGCTCTATAGGGCAAAAAGATGGCTGAAGCTAAGTTGCCAGTGATGCCACTGAGAATGTAAATGATTGAGATGCGCAGCCAGCCCGCCAGCTTCTCCAAGTCCCTCAGGATGGTCATCTGGAAAGCCACCGACACCAGGCAGTGAAGGATCCTGGGAGGACAGACATGGACAAAGTGTTCATGAGTGTGCAATGTAATGCGTATGTGTGTGTGTGTGTACGAGGGAGAAAAGCCGCATGTGTGGGGAAGATAATTCGCAAAGCCCTCAGCAGACCAATGACTTTGCCCATCAACAAAATCAGTCTCTATCTCAGTGAAGCTTAATGAGTTCGTGGAGTAAGGGCACTTTGTTTAATTACCCAGGAGACAGATAACAGACAGTATAAAGATGAAGCACTGCTCCTCTTAACTGTGAGGTCAGCTCTTTGTGCTGACTGACTGACAGGTCTGAACTACGCTTAAGTAGTGCCATCAGTTTGAAATATACAGTGCAACTGCAATTACTTCATCTGCTCTTATTTTACATATTTGTGACACACAGTACAGAAGTAAAATGAGAGCAACTCCAGCCAGAAGTGAATGAATAAGATGATGCACTAAACAGTAGTGAAATATTTTTATTCAGCCAATATTATATCATCGGCATATGAAGGTCTCTTATTTTACTGGACCACCCATAATACTTATTTTTGCATTTTGCAACGTTTCATGAACTCTGTGTAAAAGCTGCTCTTTCTGATAAGGCTGCTTGAAACTAGAGATGTGCTTGGTTAGTCAACTAGATGATGAAACGTTGCAACCCTTGCTAGTCGACACCAGAAATACTGACTGGTTAAACTTGTTATTAGACACTTAAAGGAGGAGTTTGGATATGCATGTGGGACTAACAAGCAGCTCTGATCATCACAGGCTCCCTAAAACTCACGTGCGCATCCACAGATGCAGAAAGTATGTTCGAGCCTTCACACACACACCGGCAGAATGTCCTCTCGCTGGGCTAAATGAGAAAGGTGCTTAGGCTTAGTTGGGGGCACGTGTGTGTCTGTGTGTGTGTGTGAATTTGCGTGTACACTCATACATGATAGATTTACTGTCTGAATGTGTGCATTTTTGAATGGCGATGAGTTGAGGCATTAAATACACAGCAAATACATTTTACTTTTATTAAGTGCCACACATTTCGGCAGCATTTAAATTACGTTTTTGTTATTGAAAAATTGGATGATGTTTCTCAAATGGCCTATCTTAAATGATTTCTGAGTGTTAAACTTCTGTTTAAAACATCAGGGAAATCGGCTGTTGGGAACGTCCCTATTTTAGGCATTACTTAAACATCATTATTTTTTGTGTACACCGACGAGATGACACAGCAGGACAACAATTTTAAGTTATTGAGACATGCTGATGACATGGCTTTAGCTGCTCCTTTCTTTTTTATATGAATAATGTGGTCACTGAATACTTTTCCCAAGTCTCCAAGCTGGAACACTGCTGTAAATCTGGCCTTCTGCTGATCAATGCTCAAACTAGAATTACCACCTAATGGTTGTATGCCTCTGCTAACCATTCAAGTTGCATGTCTGTGAAAATATCAGCAAAGTTTCAAAAATGGACACCCAAGATTAGAGTCACCAGTTCAGTATCAGACCAAATATCCCCTCTTCTGTTACTGAGATATGGTGTTGAATAACGGCCAGAAAAGTGTTTTTGCAGAACATTATGATATCACAGTGAAGATGACCTTTTACCCTTTGGAGATAAAATGTCATCACTTCATCACTTTATCCTGTTAGAAATATGTGAGAAATGTTTAGCATGAGAACATATAATGAGCGTGTAAGTTATGGCCAAAAATATGTTTTGTGAGGTCGCACTGACCTTTGATCATCGACTGCCAACATCTAATTAGTTCGTTCTTGAGTCCAAGTGGACGTTTGAGCCAAATTTGAAAAAATTCCCTCAAGTTGTTCTTGCAACATCACGTTAACGAGAATGAGACAGACAAGGCCACACAGACCTTTGAACACCAAAATCTGTCAGTCCATCCTTGAGTTCAAGTGGAGTACCGTGTTTAAGGAGCGAGCGGACAGATGGACAGATGAACGGACAACCTGAAAAAGTAACGCCTCCAACAACGGCCATGCGAACCTGCCCCCCATCGTTTACACTTCGTGACCAATCTGTGGAAACTGTGAACTGTTTTAAGAATGTAGGAACACACATGGATGACAAACTGAGTTTCACAGACGATGTTAATTCTATACGAAAGAAAAGCCCAGCAGAGACCACTCTTAGCAAGGAAACTTTGTTTAACTTTGTTTAACTTTTCAACTTTGTTAAAAAACAAACATAAGCTGGACAGGATCATCATAACAGCAGGAAAGATAGTGGCCGCCAACAAAAGTCATTGGATGACCTTCACAGTAAAGCTGCACAAAGGAAAACTTTGCCCATCATTGGTGACAAAAAGCACCCCCCCATACTGAGTTTGAGTTGCTCCTCTTAAGGAAACACTACAGAGTACAACTGGCAAACAAAAAGATCTGCAAAGGATATTTTGTTCCAGACAAACCGCATTTATTTGCACTCTTCTTCACTGAATGTTTGCTGCACCCTGTGTGTGTGTGTTGTATTTATTGTGGTACAATTGATGCAATGTGCTGAAATTTGCTGTGGTGATGTTATGTGACACCACAGGTGATTTCCTGGCCTCGGCTGGACAATTGTTATTGTTGACAACCAATAACCTCACCTGCGCTGCTGTATGCTTTATCCTCTGCTGTTGTTTGTCCTCTTTTATTTCTTTTACATATTTGCGGAATGCCTCTTATCTTTCTATGCATTTCTTTTTTCATGATGTGGGTATGAATACACAAAGAGCTACTGACAGCCAGAGTCAATTTCCTTGTATATGCCAAACATACACAGCCAATAAACCTGACCTTGATTCTGATCTTTTAATCATCCTGTTCCTCCCTGCTCAGTGCAAACACTGTCCTTGAAAACACTCATCTGGAATATCAGGCTGGGACAAAGCTGACTTTCAGCTCTTTACGAGACACAGCAGCCTGAAGATGTGAAGAAGCTGATATTAAGGATATTTATTGTCTAAATAAGGCTTGTTTTAACATGTTCGTCGGGAAAGAAAACTTATACAGACTAAGATGTTGGTGAAGATTCTCAGTCATCCAGGTCATGGAGTTCCATCTAGTTTCTTGAAGACGTCTCACCTCTCATCCAAGAGGGTTCTTCAGTTCTGAAAAGCCACTTGGATGAGAGGTGAGACGTCTTTAAGAAACTCAAACAAGTCCAGGTGCCTACATGTAGCACTTAAGATTGTAACTTTTTAAGTGTTTTGTTGCTATGTTGTTTAGATGCATGCTGCCTCTTACACATTTCCCCTTTTAGATTCTGTGCATCTTCATGATATATCACCAACTCTAGCTCCTGTACTCGTCATTGTACGCTTTATAATTTGGTAGACTGGCCATCACTATGTCTACATGGACAACTTCATTCATATATTTTTATGTGCAAGGCCATGCTGGGAAAAAAAAAATATATGTCATCTCCTGATGCAGACGTCCAGCAGTCTTCAGGCTTTCTTACCAGGTTCCAAGGGTTTGCACCAAGTTGGGGGAAAAAAGCCTTCTCCTGCTTTGCTCCCTGGATTTGGATTAATCTGCAGAGTGTACTACATCTAAATAATCTGGTCCCCTTGGAAAATTTAAACCCATGTTTAAGTCCAGGTAACTGAGAAATGCAACTGCTTTTTGAGCTGGATTTAGCTGTCTTAGCAAGGTCTCCCTCAGACAAGAGATTTCCATCTTGACGGATTTCCTAGTTAAATAAAGGTAAAGAAAAAATCTTAGAATAAGCAAAACTACTTGCTGACAGCTACCGACTCACCCAGCATGCAGAAAAAGTGAGAGCCAGAGCCTGTAAAACTGATCTGGGATCTCGGGGTTGAGGAAAGGCAACAGTCCACACACATCGTCCATGCAGTGCACCTGAGGAGGAACGCAGCTTATTAAGTAAGGTTCCTCAGTCATACAGTCCTAAGATCACAAATGGCATATAAAAGAAGATAGACTGGTATTTAGGAAGTACACAAAATAGTACACCACATCAAAGACAGGAGCGAATGTAACTCAAAGAGAAAGCTGCTTACTTGAGAGCAGAGCGTAGCCTCCTCATGAAAGTAACCGTTCATGAAGTCGCAATATTCCCGGGATGTGATTTCACACCTTGATGGAAACATGCAGCCATTGCCAAATTAGTAAACTCATCATCATGTGCTTTATAAGTCCAGAATAAAGTTTTATCATTGAAGTAGGTTCCTTAGCTCTCCTCACCTCCCTTTGGTTCCAATGCAGCAGGGTCGGCCTGTGATGGTACAGTCTATATGAGGCAGGTTGGTGTGGTTCCCTGTGTTGTACCTGGTACAAATCTTAAAGAGGCAGAGGGGTTCTTTTTTTAGATTTCTGTAGCAGTGAATTACAGTTTCAAAACTTCATCTGTGCCAAAATGCGATGTACTTCCCTGATTCATCAAAATAAAAAGAGACATCATATTTTTTAATTAAAACCAAAACTGGAGCCTGGTGGATGTGTGCCATTTCATAATCATAATATATCTAATGTATTTTTCCCTTCTAGTGACAATTGGTGTGAATTTCTGAGGGCTGGAGATATCGGCCATGGAGATGTCTGCCTTCTCTTGAATATAACGGAAGTAGGTGACACTCGGCTTGTGGTGCTCTAAGCGCCAAAAAAATACATTTAATAAAAACTCAACAGCAATGTCTCTTTCCAGAAATCATGACCCAGTTACTCAAGATAATCCACAGACCTTGTTGTGCACAGTTTCATGTGGGAACTGTTTTCTTTCTACTGAACTACACCTGCGAACCCATTGCGCGGAAGGAAGCGTGCATCTACTCATTGACGAGAGGCTCATGCTCATGACAGCATGAGACGTTAACATTAATGTAATGGTGTCCTCCTCCTCTGAGCTGTAACATTAGTAAGCTCAGTGGTGCTAGGTGAGCCAGTAGTAGATGCACGTCACATGTTGCAGGTCATGATTTCTGGAAAGAGACATTGCTGAGGTTTTTTATGTATTTTTTTTAGCGCTTTGAGCACCACAAGCCGAGTTCCATCTAGTTCCATTATGTAAATGACCTTTGCCAATTTGCTTTTGTTGTGAAGGTTAAATTCTAAAGGCACGCTCTTCTTTTGACAGGTACAAGCCAGGGAGTAAGATCATAAAGGCAGGCGCTCTTACTTTCTAAGGGTTTGTTGCCTGTAGTAAGAGGAAGATTGAACAAATATTGTTTACAGAGTGAATACATCTTCATAATGAGAGTAAATGTTTAGCACTTGGCTGATACAGGCACAAGGTTTGTCTACATTTTATTTCATATTGTGTTTAATATTGTGTTGCTGCTTTAAAATTATATTTTAATAGTTTTCTCTGAGTTTAAATGAGCATGTGTGCTAGATAAATGCTACGCTGCTGTTGGCCCAGTGTGCCTAAAGTTTGTTATGCTATGGAAGAAATTAAATGTTTTGTTGTTGTTTTTTTGTTTTATTCTAGCTCTTATGGCAAGTTCATGATATGTTTGGAGATACATTAATGGAAATAAAGTCTCGTGAACCTTCAGTTAGAGAGCCAGACTGTTAATCAGCCGGGGATGCTACACGTTGTATTCGAGAGAAGGCAGACATCTCTACAGCCCATACCTCCAACATTCGACAACTCACAGCAAAACAATCTAGATAAATAGTGCTACAGGTAAGACGGAAATACGTATTTTTGATTTCCCTGTCTTGTATTGAGAAGATACAGCAGTGGCATATCACTGGGAAAGAAGATTTGCCTTTCTTTGTTTTCAAACTTTTTCAAATACTGGAACAAAGGTGATTAATTCCTTCGAGCATTTCATCAGGGTCAGATGATATGTAAGTGATCATCTGTGATGTAACTTCTCAGACAATCTTGTCTATGATCTCCCTCCTCTTTATGCCTGAATACCAGACAGTGTTTTACTGTACTCACTGGCCACTTGCTGATGTCGTCAGGCCACTCATGAGGTGATACTGAGGCAGGCTCTAGACATATCCTGTAATGACACAAACAACATGCACACATTATATTTACCAACCAGTATCAGTTAATATGTACTGTGCCATGGAGGAACCATTTGTGTATCTTACCTTGGATCCTGATGACACACAGATCCATACTGTCTGTCGATACCATTTAACTGAGGTGTGCTGGAATGCCTCGGCCACTTTACCCACACAGCTAGAGTACTCTAGAAATGAAACCACAAAAAAGGGGTCAGGATTGTGCACAGCCTCCATCTGTCATTGAATTGTAAGGTCTAGGAACACAAAGAAGACTTGGGTTTGTTTACACACCGAGCATTCCTCCTCTGAGGTTTGGACGCAGCCGGAGCGATCGTTCCGCACACAGCAGGCAGAGTTGCGTTCGATAGCTCTCTTTTCCCTGATAAGATCATGCACCTGTTTGTCCTGCCGCATGCATGGAGAGTATTTGGCCCCCAAGTGGATCAGAGCTTCCTGTCGATGGATAAAAGGGCAACAACAACAAAACAAAATTAAAAACATTGTATTTATTTAAAGATATTTACACGTAATCATTGCTTGTATTTTTTATTTTCTATCGAGGGAAGAGCGCTCACCGAACCCGGCCCGATCCAAAAGTTCTCCTGCTGTACAAACTTGACATTTTCATATACACCTTTGTTTCTTAAAACCTAAATCAGAAGGCATTCAAATCACAAAGAGTACAATCAATAATAAAGGAGCCATAATGAAATGAAAATATTGTAAAAGCTTGTTAATAACAAGTCATTACAACTGAGCTGTTACTCACAGAATCAACTGTCTCATGTTGGGAAAAGCCCACTGGTGCAATACCGTAGATGCATACAGCCAGGATAGTGATGAGCAAATGGACAAAGGTGATCCAGTATGTAAAAAAAGGCCTAGAGGAGACAGAGAGTGTCTATCATCCATCACTGTTATCCACTGAGGGAAGCAGGAGAAAGCGTTCATTAGTCAGATCTGTGGAGAGGTGCAGTACCTGTGGTCATCCATGTCCTCTATCTGCCTCTTGACGTAGCTGTCAATGCGCTTGCGGTAGGTTCGATTTGTGAGCTTCCCTACCATGCCCAATCCATAAGGCCTCTTCTCTCTGGCAAAAAGCTTCTTGACAGGTACAACGATGCGCTGCCCACGCCGCTGTCCGGTAACACTCACCACCTCCTGCCGCAAGGGCACCTTTGGCGGTCCTGGAGTTCCTTCTTTGGCTTTACGCCACCCTCGCTCCAGAGGTCTGGAAGAATTAACGAAGGAGACGATACTTGATTACTTTTAAGGATTCAGAGGAATGATCCGTCTGTATCACAGACAGGATCAATACTACTCATATTTTTGTCAGAGTGGTTATCAATAGCGCTGAGAAACACAATCGTTAAACTCTTATTTTTAATGTTTACACAGCCACAGCATTAAAACCACAGAAAGGTGAACTGAATAACATTGATCATCTTGTTGCAATGCAATGTTCTGCTGGGCAACCTCTGGTCCTGGCAATCGTGTGGATGCCATTTGACTTGTATAATGTTGCAGACCAAGTACACCCCCTCATGGCAACAGCACTTCCTGATGGCAGTGGCCCCCTGGCAAAAACTGATCAAGAATGACCCGAGGAACATGACAAAGACCTAAAGGCATTGACCTCGCCTACGAATTCCCCAGATCCCAATACGATTGAGCATCTCCAGGACACGTCCATACCCCAGAGATTCTGTGTCCATGCCTCAAGAGCTCAAAGCCAAATCTGATCCGTGGTGGGGCCTAGGATCTGCTGAGGCATCGACACAGGACCTCTGGGTGTGTCCTGTGGTGCCTGCCACCAGGGCGTTGGTGGTGAATCCTCTGAGTTTTGTGAGTTGTGAGATGGGATATTGGCAGGCCTCCCCACATGCTTGATCGGATTGGGATCTGGGGAATTTGGAGGTCAAGTTGACGCCTTGAGTTCTTTGCCAAGTTCCTCGAGCCATTCCTGAGAAGTTTTTGTGGGGTGGCACAGCTCATTGTACTGCTGGGAGCGGGCACTGTCATCAGGAAGTGCTGTTGCCATGAGGAAGTGTACTTGTTCTGCAACAGTGTTTGGGTGGTGCGTGTCAAGTGGTATCCACATGAATGCCAGGACCCAAGGTTTTCCAGCAGAACATTGCATTGTAAAGAGATGATGTTATTCCGTTCACCTGTCTGTGGTTTTAATATTGTGGCTGATCAGCGTATATGTGTTAACCAAATCACTTCATAGATTATGTGCAAATCTCAGAGTGACAAAGTGTTTTCCAGGAACATGTATCGTGTGAATCATTATTTTAAAAACGATGGTATCAGCACTGCCTGAATGACTAACACTGTGGCTACGGTACAGTGGCTTACAGCATGAGATGACTTCTCTCTAGCTCTGTCTTATCTAGGGCGCTGCCTGTCAGCTCTGTCTCGTCCTTCTTGCCGCTGGGCTCTGCCTCCTTCATGGCTGCCTCAGACGGCGACTCAAACACCTCATCTGTGTACGTGGACAACTCCTCATGCATCAGAATATCCTAGAAAGAACATTGTGGACGAATTAGGTGATCCCTTAGGTTTTTTAAATACAAATTATTATTTATTTAAAAATAAACAGTCATACAGAAACAACAGCATAACAACACTGTTGTTTGTCTTGTCTTACTCTGGCAAAGAAAGATGTGTCCAGTTCATCAGGAAAGTCAACCATGTCCTCGTCTATGAAGCTGGCAGGGGTGAAGCTGCGTCTTTGGGCTCGTCTTAGAGTGCTCTCCCGTATCGAACGCCCCTGGGGATCACAAACACCCGCAAAAACATTTCTGCATTAATAGCTATAATCGTTCTATCATAGCATATTACGGTGTAATACAGTAGCAATAAAGTACAGAAAGATCCAAGCACACAAGTGATTTGGTACACTTATTTTCCAGTATATTTATTGAATATATTAGGGAAGACCAAGTACACCATTGTCTGTATCTGTAAGAATTTAACCAACTAAATACAGAACCTTCTCAGAATTGAGCAAGAGTACAAGAGTAAAATACTAAACACAACTATCTACATGAAGACTTTTCTTCATAACAATGACGATACTTGTACCTGTAAAAGTATATCATCCATACCAGATACTCCTTTCATCCAAGTATTTGGTTTGAACCTAGTATATGTTATTCATGCAAGCATTGTTCAAGTTTGTAAGTGATGTGTTCATTGGATTTCACCCCATCCCGACTCACCTTGACCAGCGCTGCTGCGGCCCTGAAGCTCATCTTTGCCACAGACTCCCTCTTACGTCGACGAGGCAGTCGGTTGAGTCCTGAGCGGGAGCTGGTGAAGGAACAAAGCGAGGCGGCTCCAGGGGTGATGGGGGTCTGAGGCACGCTGTAGCCATCCACCTCCTCCACCATACGGAAGGCTCGCCCTCGCGCCAGCGGGTCCACAATCTGGAGACCAATGGGTTCAAGGAGTGGTGGATAGAAAGAGCAAAATACTATCAAGAGACAGCCGGCTTTTACCTTGAACAGACATAGACATTGAACACATGCTGTAAACAAGGCCAATTTAAAAAGTAACAAAGAAAAATGTGACAAAAATGTTTGGTCATGGGTGCCCTGGTTGATATATTCAAGAACACCAGTTAAAGAATGATCATTTGTTTCTTTCTTCAGGTTAAATTGCACGACTGTCCACCATTTGCATTACGTAATTTAGTTTAAAAAATATGGATTCGGCTGAGAACAACATTTAGCAAAGCAACCTATGCATTGCTTTACCTTCTGCATGCCATGTTGTGAAGAGGGCACATAAAGAGGAGGTGGAGTCTCCGTGCTGGTTAATGAGATGTTGTCCTGGCTGGGCAGATCCATCTCTCGGATCACCTGTGGTTTGAGCTTTCCGTAGCGCAGGCTGCAGTGGCGCAGGCTTTTCCTCTGCCATTTCTGGGTGGCATCGCCGTCCTTGCTGACCCCAAACCAGTCTGCCGTTCCCCTAACACCACAAACACTGACCTTTTAGCTCTGGGTCACCAAACTCACACACACACACTCTTCATTTAAATGCTAACCGGCTCGGTGAGACTTGAAATATAGAGGCACTCACTAACTCCCTGTATATGGAGGAGTGGGTCTGCAAACATGTGTGGGACTGATAAGACCGCTATTCCCAGGATGTAAAAAAAAGTGCCCTAGATAGTGCAAGTAACAGGCAGAGTAGAGGGAACAAGCCTGAGCATGTTTACGTCCAGACACAGTGGGAAAGACAGGTAGCCAGGTACACACACACTGAATGCAAAGTGGCGAACTCTGTCAAAGTCTACATGTTCAAAGAAAGAGAGGGCAAGAGGGGGATTTACTGAAGATGTGATGCTGCAAATAATATCCAATGTATTCATATTCTACTGATCCTAATTGACACAAGCAGACAGAAAATACAATTAACAGAGAATGAGGGATATTTCTGAGTTTTTAATTGTGTCCTATTCCTGCTCCCACTCCACCAGACCTTGATGAATATACATGCAATCACGTTGTTGAAGTTGAAGCTTAATAAGTACCAGAGCAAACAATGTTACTGGACCCCGAGGGCAGGAAGTGGAAGTGGAAACATTCTTCAAAGGAGAGTTCAGGCAAGCTAGCTGTTTCTTCACTAATTACCAGCTGCAGAGTGAATGTTCACTGCAGTTTGGTTTAAATCTATTTCTCACTGGCTCAGCTCACTCTCTCTGTCAGCGGTTTTAATGGCTGTCTGCTTCTCTGCTCTCAAAATATGTGCCAGTGACAAGATTGTACAGCTCATATTCTAGCATATGTGTGTCTTTCTTCCCCTTAGTAACCTTGCTTTCTATAAGTATGGTTGAATGTTGTCTTTTTCTAATCAGGGTCCGCTAGAGAAGCCTTTCAACAGCCTCAAAACGCTGGCTTACTAACAAGTGCCACACAGAAGCAACAACCTCTTGCGATGAATGCTGTCTGACGGGCTGGGTCGTTACTGAAACTCTGAATAAAGAGGAATTTGCCAGAGGAAAATGACAGCTTTTGGTTTCAGGTCGTCTTATGACGCATTTAAAAAGAAATCTTTATGACTCACAGCTGCAACAGCTGGTGGCTGAGTGAGAAACAACTCTTCTTGTAAATCTTGTGACATCTGGAGTGAATAAAAATCTAAATGTTAAATTAACATTGGCAAAATCATGCCAGAATTAACACAATATGTATTAAAAGGTCCAATGTGAAGGATTTAGGGGGATATATGGGCAGAAATGGGTTCTAATAAATTAAGTATGTTTTCTTTGGTGTATAATCTCCTGAAAATAAGAACCTTGTTTTTGTAACCTTAGAATGAGCCGTTTATATCTACATAGGGAGCAGGTATTTGTCCATGTACATCGCTGTGTTGCACCACCATGATTCTACAGTAAGCCAGAATGGACAAACCAAACACTGTCTCTAGATACTGTGAGAATATTCAGAATTAATATGTATCATTTATATTTAGCCTTTACAATTCTACTGTGCAACATTCCTGTGCAATTTGCCTACTTACTGTGCAATAATATTTTTATATTCTTATATATCTACACTAAACACACTTCCACACTTCTAACTACATGTCATGTGTGTATCACAATTATCCTGTGCATCATGGACATATAGTGTATACAGCATTTATATTATTTTATTTTTTAATTCTATCTTACTTTTATTTTTGTTGTGTTTTTATCTTGTTTATCACCTAGTCACTTTTTTCCTTTGCTTTTGTGAATTTGTCAGAGTTTATCTTGTCTTATACATACACGCATAGTATAGAGTATACCCACTTATTTCCTCATGGTAAATAAGTGAGTACACACCTGACCTGATTCCTGACCCTAACACCTGCCGTCTTGTGAGGTAGGGGACTTCCTGCCGTACCTGAGCAGGGTTCTGGAGAGCGAGTGGTGTTTCCTGATGCTGCGGCGAGCAGCCCGCTGCCCTTTAATGGGAACCGTGTTAATCCGCTCAAAGTGCACCCTTCTGCTGCTGTGACCAGGCAGAGCAGGGCCGGGAAAAGGGACAGAGGGAAGGAGAAGGAAAGAGAAAAGACAACAACAGGCAGTGAGAAGGAAAAGTGCAGCTGGACAGTGCTGTAGCCATCATGCAGACAGAGCAAAGCAGCCTGTTAGGTTAAGACTTGGTTTTCATTGAGATTTACAACATTAGGAATGTTATTACCGGGCAGATGATAGAAACAGACATGCAATTTAGGAAAAGGTATGGAAAGCAGAAATACTGTTAAATGGAAAAGTTATTTTTTACATGCCATGGGGAACAGGCTGCTAATGTCCTCCATTTAAATCATACATCTTATATAAGCATGTGCTTCTTATATAACATACTGTAGCATTTTGCACAATCTGCAAACTCAAAACACAAGCTGTAACCTTTCAGATGTAAAAAACAACATTTGGATGTTTATCTGCAAAAGAAGTTCCTTATATTCCAATCTTGATGCATGCTACAACACACATATATATCAAGACGCAGATATACAAACCCTGTCTTTACCTCTTTATGGTCTGTGTGATGGATGACTGGCGTTGTAAGACAGGCCGCCGGGTGTCAAACAGGTCGCGAGGAGGGGACTGGAGGTGAGAGGTCTCCACTGGCATGCTGATACTGCGCAGGAACCCCTGCCTCTTCACCGGCTACACGGGAAAGGACACACAGAAAAAAGGTGTGAACAAAAGTCTTGACAAAAATAACAAATGTGATAAAAAAAACAAAAACAAAAAGGGGATTCAAGTGAGAAAGAACACCTGAACAAAAGTGGGAGGCTCATCTAGTGACATCTGAGCCGTGGGAATGTCCAGTCTGAGCCAGGGAGGTTTCTTCCTCTGCAGGCTGCTGGTACTCTCCCGCCGTGGTTCAGCCATGTTCTCTGTCCCACCCTAGGCCTGCCAGCTACACAGACAGAGAAGAAGAAGATGACGCTATCATGAGTCCCAATGAATCACATGTAATCTTGAAGGAATACGTCACCCACAGAATGATCACTTGATTATCATTACTCACCTCATGTTATATTGAATTTATAAAGAAAACACTGTTTCTCTTGCATGCCTCGACAGTGAACTTTAAAAATGGAAAAAACTCGTGATGAATTTGAGTAAACGAGGGTAGCGTTTAATGACAGCAAAATTATATCAAAACATCTGTTTACCAACTCATGCAGCTTAATCCAAGTCTCAGTATTTCCCAAACACATGCATTTTCACTTAAAGCATACAAGTGCATGCATTTGAACTTTGCTAGTGAATTCCACTGATCAGAATTCAAACGCACACACTTGCACAGGCGCTTTACTCACACTGTGCGTGAGACCGTTTATGCTTAAGTTTTTTATATCGATCCAGAAACACCTGTTGATCCGGAAACTGCACCATCCCAACATTCCCCCCCATCTGATCCATCTCATCCACAACTTCCTAAGTGACAGACTGCAAGCAGTGAGGGTGGGCCCAGCCACATCCCCTGTACTCACGATCAACACCGGAGCTCCACAGGGATGTATGCTGAGCTCTTTCCTGTATACTCTATACACCAATGACTGCACAAGCCCATCACCTACCACAGCCTATCTGAAATATTCAGACGACACAGTCACTCTTGCACTTCTCTCTGACAATCTCTCTGCTCTGGATTATCACAACACAGTCACACACTTCACTCAGTGGTGTATGGACAACCATCTTCATATCAACGTCAATAAAACCAAAGAAATAATGATCATCCCCCCCTCACCTCAGCACCCCATCATCATTGGCAATCAAACAGTTGAAACAGTGGACAGTTTTAAATACCTGGGCGTAACTCTGGACAATAAACTCAATTTTGATCAGCACACCAGAGACATACAAAAAAGGAGCCAACAAAGACTGTCAGCTATCCGAAAACTCAAAGGACTCTATGTCGCCCCGCCATCTACTGCTACTTCTGTACCAAAGCATCATTCAACCAATCCTTCTGTACTGTTCCACGTTTCTTCACCATGCTTTCTGTCACCAATCAGGCCAAACTGACACGCGTCACACACACCGCTTCCAAAATCATTGGTCTTCCCACACCCAACCTCACAGAGTTAAATAACAGGTCCATTACACGCTTTGCAAAATCAATAGAACAGGACACCACACACCCACTCAACCAATACCTCATCCCATTACCCACAGGGCGCAGGTACCGAACACTCAAATTTAGGAAAGCTTGACTTGGGAAGAGCCTGATCCCAGCAGCCATAGCTGCACTGAACAAGAGATCCCGTTGACTCAAATTCTCCACCTCTGTAAATGAACATGTGATGTTTTGTGATGTTTGTGCCTGTGATATTTGTGATCGATCTCTGTAAATGTACAGTTAGTGGAAACGAATTTCCCTCTGGGACGAATAAAGTGAGTCTAAGTCTAAAAAGAAACCTTCGAGCTGCATGATAGTTTGTAAACCAAAGTTGTGATATAGTTTTGCTGCTGTTAAACGCAGCCCCCTTTTACTCCAGTTCATCAAGAATTTTTTTTTTTTCCATTTTTGGATTCTTCGTTCACCTCGGCGGCATGCAAGAAAAACTTCTGTTGGAGCCATAATGTAATTTTACAGAAGGTATACATGCAGTTATTAAAATGAACACAGGGAGGAGCATTCATGTGTTAAGGGCATATCTCCAGGTAATAGGAATCAGGTGTATGGAACAGGAAGCAAACAGTTTTTGACTGTGTTATGGAAGCATGTCGAAAAGCATAAAGTATTGGCGTGTAAACTGGCGTGATTACATATGGACGATGCTGTCGCCCTTCTGTGTGATGGTGAGCATGTGTATATTGTATTGAGAATAAATGGATCGCCAGATCCAAAGAGATAAAGCACACTGGGCATTGGTTTATTGTTAGCCCAGAACACACGTCCAGAACAAGTTCACCCGTTCACCCCCAGTGGCTTGTTCAGATATTTTATTTTGTTAACAAGTCACAATTTATATTCACAAATTCAATTTTGCATGGTATGAGTAAGTGAAATACAAATGATCATTTTGTGGGTGATTTTGTGCACAAAATATAAGGGTATTATTTGCAGCTGTAAACATGATGGTCAGTGATTTTGTGCTGCAAAGTTGTTTCACAAGAGGGTGCTAAGGCGTCTTACATGATTCAAGCATGGGCGTTCACATATTTCTCTTCATTAGATAATAAAGGGGAAACCACTGAGCACAACCTACAGCTGTTTACCCCTTCCCCAAAACAGTTCACAGAGCCATTTAAAAAAAAAAGGCAATAAATATTCCCGCTGGAGAGTGAGGAAGTTTGCAGTCTTAAAAATAATCCCTTAATTCTACAGTTAAAATCAAATGTAATCCCTCTGTGCGGTTTAAAGTTGCTCTGCTGCCAGCAGCCATTTATCAGGGACTAATGACTGTGTATGCGTTCCCATGACAAGGCCTGGGGACCGAAGGAGGTGCAGCAGAGCAAACCTCACCATCAGACAGCCTGCCTGTAGCTGCAGCCTTGTTATCACGGAGACCTCGTTTTATTGTCCCACCATCTAACCTCACTCCTCTGTGCCTGCTTCATTTCCTGTCATTTACTTAAATCCCGCTGTTCCCATGGAAATTGACTCCTTTAGAAGCAAACAGGCATCATTTGCACTTTAAATGGTTAAGCAGCATCCCACAAAAATGTGTATATGCATAGTTATGCATTCGTCATTGATTAAAACAATCTTTCACTCTACAGACATGAGGAATGCAGGCTACAAAATAGTGACCACCTCTGTGCAAAGCACAAATGTGTAAACTTGCGAAAGAGGGTGTCTCCTCAGCTACGGCGCTGTTACAAAACCAAATGAATTTGAAGAATCCACCTCCCATCCCTAAATTATTTCTGAATCACCAGACGGCATCGTCACACACTCAGTCTTAACGTCGCATCAGAGGCTTTTAGATTTCGAGCAGTCACAACAGGTCACATCCTCCCGTCTCTTGTTACATATCCAGCTCCTTGGCAAAAAAAAAAAAGTCCACGGCTTCTGGTGACCACATCTGCTTCCCATTGCCATTTCAACGCACCGCAGGCTTCTGTTTTAGCCCAAGTGATGATGGGAAGTGTTGTCAGTGGGCTCCAGCAGAGGCGGAAGGAAAACCTCAGACTGAGGGCAGCAGGGGTCATCACCAATGTGTTAATATTTAAACACGGTCTAGCTGTTGTTGACAGATATTTCTCAATCCACCAGTTCCCAGAGGGACACTGGTATAGTAAATATATCATACGCTACAAGAGGCGTGCTACAAGAGGCAGAAAAACTGGATCAGATGTTTATAAAACAGCAGTGTGCATTGTAAGTTATTACAGCGGGCCTTCATCTTTTATTCACTGTCAGCCTGCAAGGTTTTGTCCTTGTGCGCCTATTAGGCTTTTACATCGGATGTTGTCTGACCTCCAGTGACATTGTCTGGACTATGATACCAGATTAGCAAGGACCAAAGCCGGCTGGAGCAGAGTCAGAGGCTGCCAAGCGTGGGAAACAGAGAGAGAGATGTGTGCACGAGGACCAGTAAACCGATGCAAAGTGACGTATTTTTTGACACGTTCTGTTTCACTCTGCTGTACTTTTTTTTTTTTAGATCGCTAAAAAAAGACTGCAAAGTCATCTGCGCTAAGAAGAATCATCACAAACTTCCTCTCTCTCACAGACCAGCTACTAACATCAGGGAAATGCAAATCTAGTATCTCTGCTTGTGCACAACAGCCCTCTCTCTTGCCCCGGGCTAGAACACCCGACATTTAATTACTTTCACCATTAGTTCAAACAGCGGGGATCCTGATATAGAGCAGATCAGTGAAGGGAGGGGGCATCAGCTTCAGGGTTGCAGATTGGAACTGACTGGAACTGAAAGCAGACAGCGAGGGAAACCTAATTTTCCTCCACGCGAAACATTGTTTGATTGCTTAAGCACTGGCCCCTCCTGCTTTAACTCCGTTTACCCTGAATCCTGCATTGATGCTGCTCTGCCTCCAGAGAACGAAGGAGGGACGGGAGGAAGCAAACTAAACAGCTCTCATTGTTCCTGCGCTACACTTCTCCTCCTGCTTTAGGCTTTTTTTCCTGCCGACTGTCTCCAGCTCCTCTCGTCCTTACTTGCATGTGGCCTCTCTGTGTGAGTGGCTGCCATTTACAGGCAATTACAGCTTCATAGTTTCTTGATGCCGGCTGTCTACTTGCTCGCCAGATTAAGCCCACACAGACAGACTAAAAAAAAAAAAAACATTCAAACTATGTAAATGAAGTGAGAGGGTGGCTGAATTATTTCACAGCTTTAAATGACAGTGAGTACTTTGCATCTGCACCTCAAACAGCAGCAAAAAATGTTTTCTGATCATCCCAAATACACTTTAACAAACAGATGTGTTAAAGTAGGCTGCAGAAGATGCCTGCATTTAAACTTTTTTGCATCTAGATCTCGAAAGAAATTACTATTTGTATGGTTTTTCCACAGCCAGGCACTGCAAGTGTTTTTCAGTTCAATGGGACATGTGATTGACCCACTACTGCAACAGCTGCAACCCATACAGTCTGTGGTGTGGTGAAATCAAGCATGATGTATTCAACATGTTTCACATCTCACACATTCATTCATTCATTCATTCATATCTATTTAAGTGTCCTGCCATTTCTGCCCATTCCCACGTGGGATTATAAGACACTTTTACATAACCGGCATCTTCCGTTCTCACATGTGCAGAACAAAAACATGTGGAAGACATAAAAAAAGACAAAGACACAACATCCCAAAATGAACTACCTATATGAGAAACCAACACACATTTACAAACTATCTTGATAAAGAGCCCCCCTTCTATTTTCCAATGTGAACAGATATCGCAGACTTTGCACATCCTCCATTCTCACAAGATCAA